CAACAGTAACTTGCTCCAGGCTCACTTTGCTCTAGTGTCTAGGAGATCCGTCTGCCACCAGAACTACAATTCCCAGCATTCCTGGTGCTCCCCGCTCTCTGGGCTTCTGCTTCCGGTCCTGGGGCTGCCATCAGAACTACTATTCCCAGAATTCCTGGTGCTCCCCATGCTGGGAGCAACCCAGGGAGCCACAGCCCCCCAAGCCTCCGGCTCTCCTGCTCTGCTCTCCTCCTGGTGACCGAGGGAGCCACGGCCCTCCAAGGGAGCGACTGAGGGAGCAACCGAGGGAGCCACGTCCATCCCCCCAAGCTGCTGGCTCTCTGCTTCTGCTCTCCACCTGGCGCCTGTGTATGCAAATTAACCCACGATCTTTGTCGGGTTAATTTGCATATTCACCCCGATTGGCTGGTGAGCATAGTGAAGGGATGGTCAATTTACATGTTTCTCTTTTATTATATAGGATTGGGAATCCAAAACAATAATGCTTAATTATTCCAAGACTTGTCAGGGGGCTTACAGAGATGCACAACAACACGACAGGAAGGAGACTAAGAGAACAACCCTTCCAGAACGGCTATCACTTTAAAAAAGTAGCCATTTGTTTTTCCTGTTATTCTCTCAGCTCAAGGGAACAAATGAGACATATTATCACTTGAGTTTTCACAAGCCTAGTAGATATAACAAAGTGGCAAAGGCTTCCAAATATACCTTAAAATGTACAGGCTTAGGATGAAAGGGATCCCAACTGTAAACAAAGTCTATCCATTCTATGATAAATGAACATGTCTCATCACCAACATAGTTCCATCTACAGTGAAACCACTGCTGGTTCAAATACACATAGAGAGTTAGCCTTGAGAGTAAATGTCCATAGTAAAGGAGCCTATGCTAATGAGATTGAATTGAAAAGAAAACCAATCTATTACATACCAACCTGGCCCTCTCCTCTCTTAGTCTTCTGTTAAAACTCTCTCACAATTATAAATGGGTTCCTAAAGAAACTGCCAGCTACTATGTGAAGAAAGCCAATGTACGGGGAAAGTAAGAAAAGAGAAAAAATAATGTAGCTCCATCTCACCCCTACCATGTCTTCACCTTACTTCTTTCTAATTCTATCATCCTCTACAATCATCCTTTTTCTGAATCTTCTGTTCCCATCAATGTCCAGTTCCACCATTTTATCTTGACAATCTTCATTAAATAATAATTATTTATTATGACAATGTTATCTGTAGCATCAAGAGGAGATGAATGAAGCCAAACAGAAATCAAGAGACAGAGTTATAGCTTGGGAAAATGTTTCCTGGTATAATACGTGGTCCCTTGTTATTAATTTAGTTGACACAGCAATCTGGTGTACAATAATCAGGAATGGGACAGCCCTTTTTAAACAAAGCTTTGGGCTAACTATAACTTGCAAGCAGTGACAAGCTTTGCAAATTATGGCCACAGCCACAAATCAAACAGCAATCTTCATGGATGCAGGGAGTGGAAAGGACTGCTGGTCACACATCCATCTTTGCAGACATCCAGCATGCATTGTGATCACCACGGGAAGTGTCATCTTTTGGGATGAAGGACAAGAATATAATTCAGTTTGCAGCTCACTATGCTTCCCCACTTACATTTTATCTCCTAATATCATTACAACACTAGAGACCCAGTGCACAAAATTCGTGCATGGGAGGGGTCCCTCATCCCAGCCTGCACCCTCTCCAATCCGGGACCCCTCAGGGTATGTCCAACTGCCTCTCGCAATCCGGGACCGCTGGCTCCTAACCACTCACCTGCCTGCCTGCCTGATAGCCCCTAACC